TTAGAGTGGAGAGTGTTATGGTATAGGAGAACCCTCAAACTAATCATCTTGACCATGGATAAGTGGACATAAATCAATAAAAATATTTCAAGTTCAAAAAATAATGTATCTTGTAACAAGTTATTGAATTATCTTATGATTTTGAAACGTTTTTTGATATTGTACCATTTTTAAAATTTTAAATTTTAAACCTAAGGATAAAAAGAGATTTTGAAGTCATCATAAGGTTTTCAACAAAGTTTATAGGTGCGCCTTATTACTTCATTAATAACACCCTTTATATATAGAAGGTTGATATGGCGAGGCTTGAAGATGAAGGGCTAGGAAAAATGCCACCAAAATCTTTTTCCTCTTCCAACTTCTCTTGGAGTGTGAGCATTAGTGCAAAGATCTATTTAGTGCAAAAATATTCTTCAACTCAATAAACTATCATATAGTTACTGCGCTTATGGGTCCTTGAGTTAATGTTATAGACTAAGGGTGAGTAGAGGTGAAAATACAACAATTTAGTAATTGCAGGGAGTATTTCTAATTTTGAGCTGATTTTTTTTTGTGGAAATGTAATTATTTGTTTCTCTTTTTGGTTGGTTGATGTAATTATTCCACTCAATTTTTTAAAAAATGGATTGGTAGGGCATATTGTCCACCGTTGATTTCCATTGGATCAACTGGATCGGCAATCGGAATCGTTCTTGGATCATCTGGATGGTGATCCCAAAAAATTTAAAATAAATAAAATTTAATAAAAATTAAATAAAGGTTTATGGGGTGGGAATTGAAAGGGACTAAATACAAATATCATACAAGCTTAAAAAATAAATAAAAAAAATAGGGATTTTAAGCACCCTATAACCCATTTCGGTTCGATCAATTTAGCAATATATATATATATATATATATATATATATATATGAATAAGAGGGATTTTAAGCATCCTAGAACCAGATCGATCCTAATCGATTCAGCATCCAGAGATCGATCCTAATCGATTCAGCATCCAGATAGACAATTTCGATCGAAAATCTCTGGGTTTTAAAACATTGATTCTACTAATATATATCTCTCTCTCTCAAACAATACTAACCAGATTTCTATAAGCTATTTTTTATGTGATATGATTTATATCATAATCCCATATAATCTATCTAAACATATGGTGAAATCCACTCCCTCCTAAAATGACAATAGAATCTAATACTCGATTTATTTAATTAGTAAATATATTTATTTAACAAGTAACTCTTATAAATGTTTGTGCTTTTAGACATTTCTAATCAAGATATAAAAATTAAATTAGTAAATAAGAAAAAAAAAAAAATATGCCCAACTTTTAACTAAAATACTATAAGTACAAAGTTTGTTAGATTCAATTTTTTATTGTCATTATATAGTCAATCACGAATTATTATTAAAATTCAAAAGATAATATTTTATTGATCTAATTGCAAGGTAGTACTGTAACTATCTCTGGTTAATTAAAATTATAAGCTTAACATTTCAACTCAGCTTTTAAATTACTGCTTTTAACTCTAGGAACACGAGTGGCAATATTGACTTGCTCTTTATTTGACCAAATAAAGTTCTGATTGACACCTGATTTGTATATTAATTGATTATATTTCTCAATTGAAATTTAAATTTAAATTTTATAAGTAGAATTTTAAACCCAGGTGGATTTTCTATATAGATTTTGACGAATTCAACCTTCTAAAATTATGCTCATAAAATGCAATTTTTTAAAGCTTGGTCTACGTTTAAATATTTGAACCTTCTACATAAAACTCACATCCTTTAAAATAAATATTGAGAAATAACATATAATGTCAAATTTATTTAAAATAGATTTGTTGGTTCGTTATAAAATTCAAATTGATTTTAGATAAGGCAAAAAGTCTAATTTTCCTGATATTCCAATACAAATAATAATGGTTGAGGTTTGCATAAGGCATCCTCCTTATATTGTAGGCATAAGGCACACCTTGGAATTTGTTTGGAGATATAGACATAAGGCACACCTCTGAACTTGTTCGGAGATATAAATCTAGTGTCAGAAACATTATAGAATTTAAAATTTCAAAAGAAGTACAGATTGAGTAAATTTATAAACGCACAACAATCATGAAAATAGACGGTCTAAAATAATTTGTTAGAAGATGTATTGTTTTTAGATTTGAAATGCTTTTATTTTTCGTATCGATACATATCGAGGTCGATTTGATCTAAATTGAAGGAATTTCTGACATCTAAACACTTCCTTCTAGGGAATTTTTTAGATACATCTTACTTCAAATGGTATGAGATCGATGCCTTATATAAACTTTTTCTAATAATAACCGTCTAGTTTGAATTTTTATGAAAAAAATTGGAACACTTACTTCAAACACCTTCGCCCAGTTTTAAATTTTATTAAAAAAAGTGGGGAAAAGTGGTGAGCCTTCTTGAAATTGTTTCAAGAAGTGAAATTTAGTGACTGATGCATCGGCTTGAGGCGGCTTGATCATCTGGATCTTTGCCACGTGTAAAATTAGAAGATGAATGAATTACGTGGCAGCATCACAATGGTTGACGTGCCAGTTACACGTCAGAAGATGGCCTGGCGAGAAGGAGACGGGTCCCTCGCGGACGGAGGAGTAGACTGTCCACTTACTACCTCGGGTAATACCTATTTTAAGAATAATCTTAGGACCCTTAATTTTTAGATGTAACTTTTCTCTATATGGAAAAAAGTTAGATAAGGGTGAAGCCCTAAACAATCAAATTAAGGTACAGTTCAAAAATTCATTAGAAGAGGTTGTTTCAATGTCTATAAATCCTCAAATCCATCGCCTTAACCTCAAGATGTATGGACATGATAAAAAAAAAAAAAAAGATTTCAAGTCCCAAAATAGTACATCTTTTAATGTATTGTTTTGGACCGTCAATTTTCAAGATTTTTAATGTTCATAGATATGCTCCATCCATATTATTTTTGAAGCTTTAAATTTTATAATTAAATATAAAAAAAAAATTTCAAGCCATCACAAAGATTTTTAATATAAAAACAATGTCTTTCGATACTATTTGAAAATGTGCTTTATTTTGATCGTTTAAGGCCCCAGCCTTATGCAAACCACACCCTTCTCTACGGACTAATTTCAAACAAACTCGTTAGTTGTCTTATTCATGTACTTGAAAAACATACCATCTTAATATTGAATTGATATCATCTAAAAGGGTGAGATCTAAAAGGTTAGGAAGCTAAAAATCCAATGTTTTTTTTCTGAAAATAATCATCTAGTAATTCTTAAATGTTTCCAAATACCACATTAAAAAATATTCCTCGAAGGCCTTCTAACTGAGGGAACATATGTACACTATGATCCAGCAGATGTTGGGCCGGACTCATCCTCTCCATAACCTTGTCCAAATAAATAAAACCGTTTGACGTGGTAAATGCATACCAAGGAGGCCTTCACACCGAGGGAGCATTTGTAGTCTATGGTCTTGCGGGAGCATAGTATGCGTGTTGGCTTTATCCTCCCTCCTCTCTATCTTATTAGTTTTGAATAATGTTATATGGAAATAAATAAAAAAAACTATTTTGATGGGGCTGCAGTCTCATTGAAATAAGTAAAGTCTCATCTCAAAACTCATAAAAATTTAGAGTCACCGGAAAAACCTTCAAATCGATTATCTCGGGCCGTGATCATTGTGAGTATAAAAATGAACTTAAGATTTCATCCCAAAAATAAATATGTACTATAATATATTTCATCTAGATAGTTTATCTCGAACCGATTATCTCGGGCCGTGATCATTGTGAGTATAAAAATGAACTTAAGATTTCATCCCAAAAATAAATATGTACTATAATATATTTCATCTAGATAGTTTATCTCGAACATCTAGAGTGTTCATTGATATCTATAATTTTTGTGTGCTTCTTGTAGTCATTATTGAAAACTGATTTTAGAGTTTACATGTTCAAACTTCAAAGTACTTTTCAAACAAGGATTGACTTGAACAACGATTGACCGGTGGCGGCCTTCAAATCTCGTGCCACAAATATGGCATGCTAAACGGCATGCTCCCGAGGGAGTATATTGTCCACTTACTCCCTCAGGTAAAATGTACTTTGAGATTACCTTTAGTATCCCTAATTTTTAGTTGTAGCCTTTCTCAACGGATAGAATAATATCAAACAAAATGACTAATTATGCTCCTCCTGTACTTCAAATACATTATTTAGACTGTCCATCTTGCAATACATTATTTAGACTTACCCTTTTCAAAAGAAATTTATGTATTTATAGATCAACTTGATTTGAAATGCGAGCTTGATAAGAAATATATGATAGATCTACTTGATTTTAAATATAATTTGATCTTAATTTTTGGAAAATATATAATATTTAATATAGAGATCATGAATATAAAAATAAATAAATTTTAAAAATTATAAATAATGATTATATGGAAGAAGTTTATATAGAGCCGAGGCTCTAAACAATCAAATTGGAGCCCACCTCAAAAATTTCACTAGAATAGGTTATTGTGATGCCGAAATATCCTCAAATTGATCACCTCGACATCAAGATGCATGGATTTCAAGTTTTGAAAGTAGTACATCTTGTAACGCATTTTTGGACCATCAATTGTCAAGGTTTACAAGTTTTTATAGATATGCTCGATCTATCAAAGCTTTAAGTTTTATAAAAATAGATTTTAAGGCTATCACAAAGATTTCCACATTTCTTGACACTATGTGAAGGTGCGCGAAGCGTTGGCTCTATACAAACCCCACCCTAATTATATTAAAAAAACATTTGGACCCTTAGTTAGAATTGTTTTTAAGATTCATGTCATTATACCCTCGACTTATACGTCTAGACTGCATATTGCAGAAATGCGGTCCAAGGAAACAATCGATCTTATTAAGTTGGAGGGGGAGTACAGGTTTTAGGTAGACAAGCAGGGGACAGGGCATTTTCCCAATCATAAATAAATAAAAGAGTTTTGACGTGGTAAATACCCAATGGGAAGACAAACCCAATTCCACGACGACTGAACAAAGAGTGTTCGAAGAGGGAGAGGAAGAAGCGGAGGACAGGACAAATCCGACGAGGGAGACGAAGAAGTCGAAGAGTTTCAGAGAGAGAGAGGTGGCGCTTTTGTCGCAGCAAAGTCAGGGAGAAGAGGTAGAGTTTCAGAGAGGGAGTGGGAGAGGGAGAGGTGGCGCTTTTGCCGCTGCAAAGTCAATATGGCTGACATTGTGAAGCAGATCTTGGTAAAGCCAATACAATTGGCGGATCTCGTTTCGACGGCGGCCGAGGACACACAAACGTGCAAGCAGGATTGCCTCGAGCTCAAGGCGAAGACCGAGAGGCTCGCCGCCCTCCTCCGGCAGGCGGCGAGGGCCAGCGCGGAGCTCTACGAGCGCCCCACCCACCGCATCATCGACGACACTGTGCAGGTGCTGGAGAAGGCCTATGCCCTTGTCTGCAAATGCAAGGGCAACGGCCTGGTCAAGAGAGTCTTCACCATCATACCGGCTGCTGCCTTCAAGAAGATGTTTGCTCTGCTTGAGAACTCGATTGGGGATGTGTCATGGCTCTTGCGGGTCTCGGCGAGCGGCGAGGATAGAGGTGATCTGGGGCTCCCTCCTATTGCGCAGAACGAGCCAATTCTCGGCCTTATTTGGGAGCAAATCGCTACTTTGTTCACTGGATCGTTGGAGGAGAAGGCAGACACCGCCGCATATCTGGTATCTTTGGCTCGGGATAATGATCGCTATGGGAAGCTTATTATTGACGAGGGGGGGGTTGCGCCTCTTCTGAAATTGTTGAAGGAGGGGAAAATTGAAGGCCAAGAGAGCGCGGCTCTGGCGATCGGACTATTGGGGCGAGATCCGGAGAGTGTCGATCACATGATACATGCCGGCGTGTGCTCAGCTTTCGTCAAGGTTCTGAAAGATGGGCCTATGAAGGTCCAAGCAGTGGTGGCCTGGGCGGTCGCTGAGCTTGCCGCCAATCAACCTAAGTGCCAGGACCATTTCGCCCAAATCAATACAATTAGGTTGTTGGTGAGCCACCTCGCGTTTGAGACAGTGCAAGAGCATAGCAAATACACAGTTGCGGCACAGCAGAGGATGGAAGCCATGTCGATTCACTCGGTGGTCATTGCAAATAAGGTTGTCAATGCACATGAGGACCACGGGGATCATCACCATGACCATGGCCATAGTATTGGAAGCCATATACCAGTTCATCCGTCCTCTAGTCAGTCTCGAATGTATGCTCTTGTGTCTAGCACCACCAAAATGCATCACCAGAACTCGTCATCTTCATCTTCATCTTCATCTTCATCTTCGTTAACCTCGTTGAATGGGAAACAGGGGTTGTCGCTGTCAGGTGTGAGCTTAAAGGGCAGGGAGTATGAGGACCCAGCGACTAAGGCTTCTATGAAGGCCATGGCTGCCAAGGCCTTGTGGAAATTGGCCAAAGGGAATGTGGTCATTTGTCGAAGTATCACTGAATCGAAAGCATTGCTCTGTTTTGCTGTTTTGCTCGAAAGGGGCCCTGATGAGGTTCAGAAAAATTCGGCTATGGCTTTAATGGAGATAGCTTTGGTTGCAGAGCAAGATGCCGAGCTTAGGCGGTCGGCCTTCAAACCCACTTCACCAGCCACCAAGGCAGTGGTTGATCAATTACTAAGAGTGGTTGAGCAAGCTGATTCCAATCTATTGGTCCCATGTATCGTAGCCATGGGTTGCTTGGCTAGAACATTTCAAGCTCGAGAAACCAGGGTCATTGGTCCTCTGGTTATGCTTTTAGATGATAGAGAAGAGAATGTCATGAGGGAGGCAGCCATTGCGTTGACCAAGTTCGCTTGCACGGAGAATTATCTCCATGTCGATCACTCTAAAGCCATTATAGCAGCAGGTGGAGCCAAGCATTTGGTTCAATTGGTGTATTTTGAATCCACGGTTCAAACCCCATCTCTTGTTTTGCTCTGTTACATTGCTCTCAATGTTCCTGACAGTGAGGCTCTTGCTCAAGCAGAGGTTTTGACTGTGCTAGAACGGGCTTCAAAACAGGGGCCCAGGGTTCAGGACCCAATACTGGATGAGCTTTTACCCGAAGCTAAAGGAAGGCTTGAGTTGTATCAGTCAAGGGGGTCCAGGTTCCATTGAGAGGAGACCCGGTAAAGAGAGAAAAAAGAGTAAAAAACCCATCTTTTTGTTTTCGTTATTTTCCTTGGATTTTATTGTTGTACATTGTTATTATTTGTTTTAAAAGAGTGATGACAACCAGTCATGGTGTCCTTATTTGCTTGTTGTATTGAGTTGCTTTTTTCTAGCAGCAATTGTGTCTTAAATATTCAAGTGTAGTATGGAAATTTAACATATTTTACGAGTAATTTTCAACTGACATTTTGGGTTTTTTGCTTTTCTCGTATCTTCATACGAAAGATATAAGATACTAAAATGCTAATATTTGGGTGTATTGCTATTATTTATGGTTTGATTCCAAATTTCAAATACTTCTACAAGTCGATAGCTTTTTGGTATTTGGGTGTTTTAAGAAATTATATGGGTATAACAATCTTAGCATTTTGAATGTGAAATAAAAATATTTTAATGTTCACAGATAGGCTTTCCTCTTTTGATGCTTCAATTTTCAATGGCCTTCTGGTGTTTTGTCAAGTTTTGGTCACTGAGCAGCTGCTCTACTTTTATTATGTTCCGGTCAATAATGCATATAGATTTGTTTGTAGCTACCATCATTTGCAGAACATTTCTGCATTATTCTTCCATGATTTTCATAAGTTTGTCTCGATTATTTCAATTAATACTGGGGATCTCAGTGAACTATTGTTTCTATAATCCACCAAATTATAGTATAGTTACCCAATAACAGTTATGGTTGGTTTCGCATTGTCCTAAAAAGTTCATACTTAACATTTGCAGGATATTTGAAAATGACTTCTTCAAGCAGGACTGGCGAAGTCATGGCTGTGGACATATACTTTAGTATATATTCTTGAAGTGGACATTGTGCTTTCTATTAGGCATTTAACTGGCTTGGTTGGCTTTTTCAATAATTTAGCTGTTGAGAATGTAGCTGGGATCAAGTTCGTTATAACTTCCAATCTGATGCATACCAATAAGTAAGATCTCTTTCTTGCATATATCTTCTTGATTGAAATAAGGGGAGAGTATAATATAATGCAATACAATATGGCAAACCATATTCCCTGGGCTCATCACCGTCCAGTGAGAGGATGTACTTTGATGATTGCATGGGAACCCCCAGAATAGTAAATGGTGCACTCTGTTTTTCCGTCATCGTCTATCATTTCATCAGGTGGTGATGAACAATGGATTATGGTTTTTCATCATCCATTGGATTATAGTATAGTTTTCCCTGAATGAATTGCTGTTCTAATCAAGTAAACTTAAAGTTGTAAATAATTTTTTTTTTTGCAGATATTTTCAAGCATTTGCAGTTTTTGCAAGCTTTAACTTCTTTCTCACTCTATTCTCATCAATCATCACCGCATATATTGGTCCTGCGGCTGCAGGATCTGGCATACCAGAAGTCAAGGCCTATTTGAATGGTGTTGATGCCCCAGAAATCCTTTCTTTACGAATTCTAATCATCAAAGTGAGCTTTTTTATGCTTCAAAACTTCAGATATTGCGCTAATTCCTTCTTTTCTCATTATCTCTTGGAATTAATCTTATCAAAAGACTTCACATATTTGTCAATTGTCTTCTAATCTTGTTCCTTTTTCTTGGTAAATAATCTTGTTCCTACTTTTGATAAGGCACAATCTTGTTACTTATCAAAGTGATGAAAGGATAGTTTGTTAGTTGGTTCTCCCTTTATGCTTTAGTGATTGTAATGTGGAGAACTGGAAAATGAGCTTGTTGCTTCTATGATGTCATGGAAACTATATACATCTGTATCTTGTTCAATTTGAGCTTTTGACCTTCAATATTTCAGTGTTTTCTTTGTGATAAGCATGTTTACAAAAGTTTCAATCATAGGAATGAAGACGCAAATGCTTTATGCTCAAGATTTTACAAATATAGGAATAAAAGCCCAATGGTGTAACTTATGTAACAATGATATGTGTGTTGCATGTGTTTAGGAGAATCCAACACGCCAATGCACTTAAAACGTGTGTCGATCTCCACATAGACATGGGAAATCCATGTCGACATGCGTCTCTGTAAATATTATTGTATGGCATGCATATCTTCTGATTTGGAGTGTGTCTTTGATTTAGACCTACATGTTTTATTTTTTAAGGTAATTTTATTGTTAAAACGTTACAGATTAATTTGAAGTTTTAATATACATGCATGCACTGTACAGACACGTCATACTGGACTTGGCAAAATATAGGGAGGTGAGCATGTTCTTCAAATCTGAAACCGACATAGATCCTCTCATCCATGGGCTTGTAATAAAGGATGTAGCCCTTGTTTATGAAAGGTAATGTCATAGCCTTGGAGGTAACCTAGATCTCCTCCATGTTGCCATCAATACCTAAAGGGAATGGGAATATCTTGCTAGCTGGCCTAATGATATCCAAAGAAAAATGAAAATGTACCATCTCCAACAAAAATACTGATATTGATATATACCAGTATTTTGTGAGAAGTTGTTAATGTTGTGAGAAGTTGTTAATGTTGTGAGAAGTTGTTAATGTAAATTTCAATATGCAACTATCCTTATAAATTTCTCAAAATTGGGAGTGTACAAGAATATGTTGAACTAACTTTTTAGTTCCTCTATTGTTCGGCTTCAATACCTCTTTAATTTGTGGTGTGCAAATGTATTCACATGTCTCTTTATTCTCCTTTGACTAACACAAGGCAACATAATGGCAGAGCTACATGGTCCTGGTAATAAACCTTTCATGATCTCGTCTACCTTCAATCACTTTCAAGATTTAAAGTTCATGCACTAATAAGGAATGGAATTGACAAAAACATGAAACTTCTAATTTATGACTTGAAATAGAATATGATGAAAGGGTGGAGACGCCCATTGGACATATCCTAAATTATATTAAATAACCTTGTAAAAAAGTAAAAAATACCCAAACTGATGGTTATTCTTGCTCCCTTGGGTCTGGACCCTTGTCCAATTTCCTTTTTCTTTCTATGACTCTTGCAATCTTCTGGAAATGAATATGATAGAATGTGCTTTCCCTTGTTACACTACTGATGAGTCAATACCAGGCCTATGATATATCTTTTTCTTTTATTTGATGAATGAGTCCCTGGTATTTTTTTACCCAATTGCAGATTATAGGTAGCATTGGAGCCATCTCAGCATCGCTCAATGTGGGAAAGGCAGGCCCTATGGTACATACTGGTGCTTGTATTGCTTACCTCCAATATAATTGTATTAATATAATTGTATAATGCTTATGGGTTCATGAAATCTGAATATAATTGTATTAATATAATTGTATAATCCATAATAATTGGTAATTGTATAAAATATATTGGAGCATAGTCCATAATAATGTGTGCAATGGATATATGGTGTTCAATGATTATATAGAATATAATAGATATGTTGTTTTCGTATAATAGGATGGACCCACACTCATCATCAAGCGCAACGAATGAGAATATGGGAGGCAAGAAAAACCTCCAATGGACACTTAAGATGACTACTTCATTGAACTTATGGAGGCCGAGACCAGGATGACTACTTCATTGAACTGATGACTACTTCATTGAACTTATGGAGGCCGAGACCAGGATGACTACTTCATTGAACTAATGACTACTTCATTGAACTTATGGAGGCTGAGGCCAGGGCTACAGATAACATACAAATCTTGTGCGCCATTATAATCTCAGATAGAGAACACACAAATGTTGTATGCATCACAAATGTTTTAAGGGATAAACAACAATGTTGTTTTATTGTTGAATAACGTATATTTTTTAGGTTGGGATATGGATGCATCATTGGTGGAAGTAAGTAGTGCTCAAAGTATTACAGGTTACTGTTAAATGGGCTGATTTCTTACTACTTGCATTAAGCATGTGCGTTTGTATGTTGTGTTGAAATTATTATATCACAGTCCAATAGAATACAGGTAACCAAATTCACAATTGCCATGGCCGCCGTACATATGACTACGCATGTGTGTGTGTGCGTGTGTGAGGAATATCGAGAGAGCGAGAGAGAGTTTGTAATCGGTTTAAGAAGAAAGTCATCGACAACCACTTGTGAAATTTAAACACATATTTCACTTCGTATTTGTAAAAAGAATCAACAAATTATATACCCACAATACTTAAAAAAATATATTCATTTCTATTTTGAGACAGTCGATTAGGAAACTTGTGATTTGATACACAATATGTAATTGAGGTTGAGGTGCAATGAAGTATATCATGCAACATTTGCTTCAATTGATGTATAAATATATCTCTTTTTAGGACGTCTCTCACTCGTCAATAAAACTCTCTCATAACTCTCTCTCTCTCTCTCAATCCAATGTGTTTTACTTTCAATTGTATCCCAAAAAATAATATTGTACAACTTAATAAAAAATAGTTAATATGTAGGTCTCATTTTTAACATTTTACATCTTGCCTATTACTTAAAGCTAATCCAATACAGATACTCAAAACTTCTTTAACTTCCCAAAAAGTTATCAAACACAGAAACCGGTAACTTCTTAGCTTCTTAAGAGGTTATCAAACACATAAACCAGGAATTTCTTAATTTCTTTGGGAGTTTATCAAAGCTAATCCAATACAGATACTCAAAACTTCTTTTACTTCCCAAAAAGTTATCAAACACAGAAACCGGTAACTTCTTAGCTTCCTAAGAGGTTATCAAACACATAAATCAGGAATTTCTTAATTTCTTAGGGAGTTTATCAAACACAGAAACCAGGAATTCTTAGTAACTTATAATTTACAGGTAATGCGGAACTTTCAATTTACTGTTCATGAACTTGCTTCCAATTATCAAACAGGCCCTCAAGGTATCCACGGTTGCACATGTTCATTCCGTGTGTTCTTCACTGATCCATTCTTTGTATTTATCTCCTTATGTACTGCAAGCATGTGCTATGTGTATGGACAGTGCACATGGATGCAACATCGGTTATCTATGTTGTCACAATACTAACAATTTTATTTTATTTTTTTGGTTTTAGAAAGGTTATGGTTATTTTAACATATAAAAACCAGTTTATAAAAAAAAAGAAAGAAAATACAACTGCAATAAAAGATTTCAAAACGACAGTAAAATTATGAAGTAACAAAAGACACAGAAATGATAGAGCACCTGGCACCTTCCTTTGCCAAAACATTTGCCATCTTGTTAGAACTAAAGGGTACATGGCAAAAGGTAATTGGCTGTCGTGCAAAACTTCATATCTTCAGCCATCAGATGGTTAACTCTCCAACGAATGGCTGCATTCATTTTGGCCCATCTGAACCATTTATACAATATCTTTCAACCATCAATGGGAGCCATGCATGGCTAACTGCAATCTTGATGCAATTAAACATTGCTCATATTTCAGCCATGGTAGAGTTACAAATGCCAATGCGACCAAAGAAATGAATCAATATAATCCTGCTAGAATATCTTACTGCACTCCTTATTCTGGCCAATTCTTGTATCCTCGAGAGCAGCCATCAAAGTTTAGCTTAAGGCTACTATCCAACAGTCTCTGCCATGAAACCATCTTGTACACTTCTAGTTGGTTATTACTCCAAAAACAGTGAATTTGCAACGTGGTTGAAAGAAGAGAGTAGGTTGTTCTTTTCTGCCTTCCCCTCTGAGGAAGCACGCAAACTGTTCTTGGGCTTTGTCTAAGTTTTGGAACAAACAAAAGCTGCTAGCTCATTACTATGAAGGCATTTGCTTCAGGACCTCGGACTGCTCACAATTGGAAGATAAAAAAATGAAACACCACAAATCGACGAGGTAATAATGGCATTATTTTCCTCTCTAATCTCTTTTTCTTCATGCATCGATGTCTTTATGGACACATGTAAGGTTCAATTTTTGCAGGTCTTTTAAGAAAAAAGGTATGCAATGTTTTGTTTTTGTTACAGTTGTAAATTAGATTTTTTAAATTAGATGATATTATTAGACAAATTTCAAAATATTTCTCATTTGTATAGTAAAATGACGATAAAATAATAAAATACAAACTAATAATTCTAATTTCAATGTATAATATTGTATGTAGTTAAGCTTTAATAAATGTTTGATGAGAATCTTCATACAGGGAAAGAACATCTCAATATTCATATATTGATTAAAAAAAATAAAAATTATTAATGTGGTACCTTGATTTCTTATTGGATTCCTAAAAAACAACATTTATAATGATATGACTACTTATGGGAAGGCATTTGCTTCAGGACCTCGGACTGTTCACAATTGCAAGACAAAAAAATGAAACACCACAAATCGGCGTGGTAATAATGCCATTCTTTTCCTCTCTAATCTCTTTTTCTTCATGCATCGATGTCTTTATGGACACATGTAAGTTCCAATTTTTGCAGGTCTTTTAAGAAAAAAGGCATAGTGATATGACTACTTATGGGAAGGCTATGCAGTGCTTGTGAAGGTCCTACTTCTGCAGCTAAATTCTTTTTCGAATGTTTCCTACTTTTGCAGTTCTTATTGGAAGGTTCTATGATATTGTAGAAGACAAGTCATTGTAAATTTTTTGACCAGTAATTGAAAACTTGGCCGAGTAGTTTTACACGGCCGAGTTACTTGGTTTCAGGACCTTGCCATGCTTGAGTAGTTCTGAGTTTAGTGTTCAACTTGGGGATATTAAAAAAACTAAAAACAAAATCTTAAAAAATAAGGTATTTTTTATGTTTTCTATCATTTTGGCAAAGAATAGAAGGTGTTTTGACAATAAATATTTATTTTTATACTTTCGCATGTTTTTTGGATTATTTAAAAAATACCCCCTGTTACAATTTGATTTTTTTGAAATATATTTTTTTACTACTATTTTGACATCATATTGATTTTTCTGCTTAATCTTACTTTAAACATACATCTCCATTTTTTTTGGATTTCTTTTTAATCAATTTTTTAACCTTTTTTTTTTATTTGTTGCTGCAGTACTCGGCACTAATCAAGCCAAGTTACTCAGACTCGGGCCAAGTAATCGGCTCAGGGCACGACCAATTACTTGGTCCGCATTGCACTTTCTAACACTCGTTTTGACCAAAGTGGAGAATTAAGTAAAAGAATATGGTTTTGAGAAATTGGTACTAGCTTTCTCTTTTCTGGAATTTAGTTGTTTAATTAGTGTTTTAAAACTCAGCTTAAGATTAGGAGTCGTCAATCCAAAACGCATGCAATAGGCGTGTGATCTCAGTTCCCACCCCCACCCCCACCCCTCAAATCCCCCGATTTCATTATTTCAATATTTGTTAGAATTGATTTTTTACTGGTTCGGGCGATCTAGATCAATATAATGGTGGCTGATCCAAAACTCTATTTGGGATTTTAAAATAGTCGTTCAAACGAAAGTGACCAAACGGATCATTTATTGGTCTTTTGGGACCCTAGGATATGCAAATCCTTCTTTGTATATTTGGAGATCATAGGATATCTACATCTTCAAAGCCTTTCATATGCGGCATTTGCTCATTCCAAAATTTTTTCGGAATGTACAAATGCAAGCTTTTGAATTGGGGTGCATACTCTTCTCCTTTTTTTTGTCCCTTGTAATAATGACATTATTCTATAGTTATAAAATTCATATTTAATATTATTATTGTTACAAATATTTTTTAGAAAGTATCATCAACATAATTAATGTTAGTATTATTAGAGTATAATATGTTATTATAATATAATAATGTTTTCTATAATAGTAACATATAATGTCATTATATTTTATTATAGGTTTTGTTAGGCTATACCACTTGTGGTGTATACTCTTAAAGTGCTCAACTTTTTTAGACATTTAAATACATTTATCTTATAGTATATTAACTTTTTGTTTAGAGGTATTTTAAGTAATTAGTCAATAATAAACTAGAAATTCCTAATAGAAACAAAATCATTTATTAACGATAATGGACAATGACATCACCGATATGGTGTGTGACATCATCCACAAGATGCATTAATTGTTTTTAACTATTAATATAATGCTACTATTTTTTTATAAAAATATCCATTCTACCCTTCTAAATAACCAAAAATGTTTTGTATTACAATTCAAGTGGTATCTTAGTGTCTAAAAATGTTGAACACTTTAAAGGTTTATATCACCAAGTGGTGTAACCTAACAAAATCTTTTATTATAATATTATCTTAATAT